CTCCTGCCTTGGCTGGAATTATAGGCGTGAGCCACCACACCCAGCCTACCTTTATTTACTTTTGAACCAAATCTTGCTCACTACAATTATTAATACTTCCCTAAGAATATATTTTAGTCATTTAAAATTTGCCTTTGTTCTTAGATGGCAGAGAGGATTTCAACTACTTCATAATTTCCAGAAGACCTGGGAAAGCTCAGTACACATAAGAGGCACTCTGCATTTTTCACTTTTCAGAAAACCTAATTTTGCATAGTCCCTCTTTCCCATTCTAGGAGCCTAAGAGTTCAGTTTGATAACTTGCTTTTTTTTTTTTTTTTTTTTTTTTTTTTTTTTAGATTTTTTTTTTTTTTTTTGAGACAGAGTCTCCCTCTGTTGCCCAGGCTGGAGTGCAATGGTGCAATCCTGGCCCACTGCAACCTCTACCTTCTGGGTTCAAGCGATTCTCCTTAAACTGGAAATACCAAGTTTCTTTTCTTTTTTGGGGGGAGGGGCAGTCTTGCTCTGTCACCAGGCTGGAGTGCAGTAGCACAATCTTGGCTCACTGCAACCTCTGCCTCCTGGGTTCAAGCAATTCCTCTGGCTCAGCCTACAGAGTAGCTGGGACTACAGGCACACGCCACCATGCCTGGCTAATTGTTTGTATTTTAGTAGAGACAGGGTTTCACCATGTTGGGCAGGATGGTCTTGATCTCCTGACCTCAAGTGATCCGCCTGCCTTGGCCTCCCAAAGTGCTAGGATTACAGGTGTGAGCCACTGCGCCCAGCCTTAAGTTCCAAGCTTCTAATCATGGCTTGATCTTTCCACTGACCAGCCCCTCAAGCTGAACCCATTGGGAATCCAAGAGTTGCCCTATTAGAACAAAGACATTCAGCACTCAGGAAATTCCAGTCAATTTAGTAGCTCTGTGTCAGGAACCAGTGTCAAAGACCAAATAAATAGAACAAAAGACGCTCTTAGCACCCTTAGCCTTCAGGAATTCTCTTAAGGATTTGGGGAGCTCTCTGCTAGTCACTGGGAATGAAGACCAAATATATATTTATCATGATAACACAAGGTTTATTATACAAAAATCCGAGTATTTCACGCAGAAATGAATAAAATAGACCATAAAACTCATCTCCAGCCGGGTGCGGTGGCTCACACCTATAATCCCAGCACTTTGGGAGGCTGAGGCGGGCGGATCACCTGAGCTGGGCAGATCACCTGAGGTTGGGAGTTTGAGACCAGCCTGACCAACATGGAGAAACCCCATCTCTACTAAAAATACAAAATTAGCCAGGTGTGGTGGCACATGCCTGTAATCCCAGCTACTCGGGGGGCTGACGCAGAAGAATCACTTGAACCTGGGAGGCAGAGGTTGCGATTAGCTAACTGCTCTCCAGCCTGGGAAACAAGAGCAAGACTCCGTCTCAAAAAAACCTCATCTCCAGTAGAGCAAGTGTGCTTGTCCTTTCCAGGTCCTGTGAAAATGAAGGGAAGAGGGTATTGCCTAGCTTAAGTAGGGGCTCCCACCGTCACGGTCAGGAGACCACTATCTCCTTGATGCAGGTGAGCTGGGGCAGGTGTAATAGACAGAGGCCTCTGCTTCAAGGAATATCATCAGGAAGCAGCAGTCAGAGCACTAGTGGCCCCTGAAAAACACAGGGCAGAGTTCCAGGTCTAGTCTGGGTGGAGGTAATGGTGGCTTCTCTTGCTCTAGGAACTGTCTAGAAACTGAAGGGTCTCTGGCCTGGACAGGACCTTCATCTCCCTCTAAGGGTTTGGAGCCATGTCAGGATGGCTGCGCTTCGAATGTCACTGCTGATTTTCTATGGCTGAGCCTCTCTAGATCTGGCAGGTCCCTGTGGCCCAGTGAATTAGAAACAGTTCTTGACTGGGCACAGTGGCTCACTTCTGTAATCCCAGCACTTTGGGATGCTCAGGTGGGCAGATCACCTGAGGTCCAGAATTTGAGACCAGCCTGACCACCATGGAAAAACCCCATCTCTCCTAAAAATACAAAATTAGCCGGGCGTGGTGGCACATGCTTGCAATCCCAGCTACTCAGGAGACTGAGGCAGGAGAATTGCTTGAACCCAGGAGGCAGAGGTTGCGATGAACCGAGATCGTGCTATTTGCACTCAAGCCTGGGCAACAAGAGCGAAACTCCATTTCAAAAAAACAAAACAACAAAAAGAAAACCAGTTCTCTCCTGTTTGTACTTTCTTTAATCATGAGGATTAATCTGACTGACAAGTGCCTGAATGCCTGAACTGGTCATTGGAGAGAATTATAAATACAAACTATCTTTTTTTTTTTGAGGGGGGAGACATTGTCTCACTCTGTTGCCCAGGCCAGTCTGATGCGCAGTGGTGCGATCTCAGTTCACTGCAACCTCCGCCTCCCGGGTTCAAGAGATTCTCCTGCCTCAGCCTCCTGAGTAGCTGGGATTTCAGGTGCCCGCCACTACACCTGGGTAATTTTTGTATTTTTAGTAAAAACAGGGTTTCACCATGTTGATCAGGATGGTCTCAAAGACCTGACCTCAGGTGATCCCAGTGACGTGAGCCACTGCACCGGCCCCTTTTTTAACTTTTAAAGGGACTGCTATCAGCCTT